GGAGCACGCGAAACGCCGCTTATTTTACATTAATTTTATTTTGTTTAATACATTCTTTTAATATGGATCTATTTAAAAAAAAATTCTGTCATACATATTCTTTATCGAATAAAGTTTCACTTGAAAAGTGCATTATACATTTCTCCTACAAATAGTTGCAAGTTTGAAATTAATCATGACATTTTATGCTTGAAACAAACTTTTTTAAATATATTTTCCCAAATGTCTAACTAGTAATAACATGCCTTATAACATAAGTATTTAATAACAATGTGTATTGGAGGTGAAAGAAAATTCATAACTCCAAATCATCCCGTGGGTGTAGTAAAAGGCGGCAGATGGGAACCAGGAGATGGGTAACAAAAGTAAAAAACTGCGGTTGCAAACCCGCCGGAAAAATGTGGAAAATATGAAATATACCCCCATATGCGGTTATCCGCTGGATAGGCTTATGTTGTCTTTGATAGATCGTAATGAATGAATGAACAATGTATATTTGATCCTTAACATGATTTAGAAACTCTTGAAACTAGTCAAAACATCGTCATCTACGTAGCGGAACTAAGAATTTTTCTCGTTAAGTGACTTCGCAAAATGATTTTTGTAAGATAATTTATAACATTATAAATTATATAATTAATATGACGTACTAAATATTATTGGGTATAAAATAGATATAAACATATTTAATATTTTTTTGAAGGGATTTCGAATTTTGCCAACTGCCAGCACATTATTATAAATGTTTTCATTATTTCTATTATTTTTAAATTTAAATTTTTAAATTTAAATTATCTGAGAAAAACTGAATCTAGAAAAAAATATTGTACAATATCTATTATACTCCGCTTTTAGCACTAATATTATAATAATATATAATAAAAGAGGAAAAAAAAATTATTATACCTACATTATTATATAAACCATAACATTATACCCTTATATTTAAAGAAAACACGAATTAAGTAAATTATTTCTCCTTGGCAGTTAAATATAGCCGCAATGGTTGCAATATGTAAGATATATATTTTTTTTAGGAGAGGGAGCAAACGAGCACGCGGCTCACCTGATGGTAAGTGACTACCGCCGCCCATAAACAACTGTAACACCAGGGGTATTGCAGATGTATTGCCGGCCTATTAAAAACGAATAGGCTCTTTGAAGGTCCCTAAGGCGTATCGGTCCGGAAAAATTGCTGGTGGTAATCGATTCCACAAGGAAGTTGTGCGAGGAAGAAAACTTTTTTTAAATCGCACAGTAGTGAACCGCTAATCATCCAGACGGCATAGACCATCTATGCCTAGATGGTATCGTGAGATTAGTCGCGATGTGCGATCTTAAAATTGAGCGGCTGGAATTAGTCCGAACAATTCCTCAGAGCACTCCCCGTGGTAGATGCGATAAAATACGCAAAGAGATGCAACATCTCTACGCAGTGCCAGTGAGCCAAGCCGATCGGAAAGAACTCGGTCGTCGATGATTTAAACCGCTCTGCGCTGAAGCCCCTGCCCGGAGATGAGAACAGTATTCCATTTGGTATTGAACCTACGCCTTTTAAAATTGCAAGCGGTGTGCCGGCATGAAATACTGGCCCACTCTGTTGAGCACGCCAAGCATTTTAGAGGCCAATTTGGCCTTCTATTCCAAGCGACCACGAAACTGCACTTCACTCGATATGTTGACACCGAGGATTCCGTTACTGGCTGAGGCAACAAGGGGAGTGCCTTGAAATTAAGGAGATGCGACAAAGGGGTTCTTTTTAGCGGTAAACGCACAAACTTGTGTCTTCTGGGGATTCGCCCCCAAAGTCGTGAAATCAAGACTTTGTTCAACAAAGATTGGACTTCAGACACAAGTTCGTTCCACTAATCGGCGATATTTTCCCGAGAAATATTGGCATGGCTAGTTTATAAAGCATCACCAGTGTTGTAGCAATGTATGTTACCAGTTTGCAACATATCATTGATATGCAGAAGAAACAGCGTTAGTGATAGCATGAAGCATAAAAGCCCTCTTTGAAAAAATGCTGTATCAGCCGTGTTAGAAACCTCACAGTGACCGTAGGGTATGTCAGCACGTGTAGTGTAGTCAGATGCAAATAACATTTTTAGAAATATTAAATTTAGTAAGTTACTTGATTAGAAACGCTAAAATCCCATTCATAGTACACCTATACGTCCCTGACACGACCAACGGGTTGTTTGTTACATACTGTACAAATAGTTTAAACCATTGTAATTGTTTAAATCTGTATTAATTTTTATTTTTTAATAAAAGATCATTAATGAAAACCACATTTCCTTTATTACGCAAAATATTAATAATATTTCAAAATTATTTATAAATAAAAAATTATATTTAATTTAATACCTAGAAAGCGTACACTCTGACCCCACCTTTTGCTGTCAGCTTTGCATACGGACTCGCGGACTTCGCTATGCGACAAGCAAATGACACAATAAATTGCAAATGGCTACATACAATGAGCGTTTTTGTGACATTGATACATTATAGTTTTTGAACATACTACGAAGATGAACGCGTGATGAATGTGTAACTTGTACGAAGCACCAAAAGCAATTTATTCATGTCCAGGGTGCGTATAATAACATTGCGCGATGCGTCTGTGTGATTAGAAAATATCAATGTAGGTGTTCTATTCGAAGTTCCCACGTTCAAGGACTACAGTCTTAATACAGTAAAAATTATAAATGGTGCTATATGAAATTTGTCATCAGTGAAAGTGAATTTTATCTGTATAATATAATAGTAACAAAATATTTAGAAAAAAAAAACTTGAAATTAAATTTCGCTATTTTTGTTTGTGGAATGTTAAAATATGAGAAATTTAATCAAAAATGTGATAACTTTTCTGTTTTTATACGTTATTTCTAATGTTATTGTACATCAAACTAATTGTGAAGATATTTTCTTTAGTAAATAAGTATCATTACGACAATTCCAAAAAGGTTTACATATAATAATTTAGCTCGAAAGAACAATGGTCAAATTTCTATAGGAGCTGGACTTAACTTTTATTTTTCATGTCCCAAAACAAACTATAGCTAGATTGGTTTCTTTTTATGTTGTAAACACCATCCCGTTTTAAAATCATATTTAAATAGCCACAATTTTTTTTTTCTATAATAACGTCAACAATACCTTTGAGGTTAGCATCACATATGTAATCTTCTTCAGTGATCTAAAATAAGAATTACATTTGTATTATGATGTACGATTGTGTGTGATGGTTTATGTTCGTTTAATAAAATAAAAAGGTATGTAAATATGTAATATTATTGAAGAATTCCACTCGCGGATTTTAAAAATTACTCTGGTATCAAGCTCAAAAATGAGATGGCGGCGAAGTGTATCAATGCATATGTTACAATTAACACATAGCAATCGCAGGGCTAGTTGTCGTTGTTGTGTAGCTGTAGTCTGCATGATGTCCCTCACAAATAAGCAAGATGCAAAATCGGTGTCCAGAAATCAAAAGCACAGAATAATCGTTACAAGTGGTAGTTATCAGTCCGTAAAACAAGGACGAGGTCAAAACAAAAGTAAAAAATTCACAACAACGAGTGAAGCAAATAAGATGATGCGAATGATTGCCATAGATAAATAGATATGTAGACATATGTAGATAATTGCCGGGTGACAATCAATGGTGTCGATAGGTGATCACAGATTATGTTACTTGTGGATGACAAATGATGTTCCGTTGTACGTAATTAAACAAAACGCTTAGCTTACTATGAAGCTACATAATTATTTTTATGACATGAATCCAGTACATAATAAATCAGTATAGTAGTTAATTTGGTGCCTACATACTAATTAACTTCAATTACCATTAACAACTATTCAGAAAAACGTGAATAATTATAGTCTTTGAATACAAAGTCCTTTCATACGTGAAATCAATCGTCATTAGGTGCGTTCCAGTGCGTTCAGAAACCATTGTTTTAAATAATTTCGGAACAGTTACAAAAACAAAAATAAAAAGATAACTTTTTTTTGTGGCTACTTAGACAGGTATTTTTTGTGTTTTTTAAGACCTTAAAAAATAAGGATATTTTTCATTAATATTGCATATAGTGACGCCATCCTTTCATCGTCTGGTACAATTTGGCCAACCTCCTTTTAATTACTATACGCGATCATCGTTTATTGATGATATGTAGTTTAAAATGTATTTTAATCAGTTTTTTGTGTTAAATGAATGCTAAATATAAAAGAATGATTCACTATTAACACGTTGATAGCAATTTATAAACGAAATATCTGTTGAAATGTGTTTAGAAATTAATAGAACTTATTTTTATTTATTTATTTACTTATTTATTCAAATTTATATTGGGTAAACATTATATACTTATGTATATTGAGTATATAAGATATTATTGATATTGGTGTCATTTTAAAGGGAATATCATGTACTATTAAATATAAAATAATTGTATCCAGTAAGTATTATACTTCTTGTAAAACTCGAAATAAAAAATAAATACGATTATTTTTAATATTCCCATTTTTAGGCTTTATTTTCAGCCTTTATTTTTAATTTGACTAATTTTCTTTTAAACAAAATTATATTTTGAATTCTTTGAGTTTTGAGAATATTTTTATTTTAATGTAGATATAGTAGTTTTTAAGTAGTAATCGTTTTTGTTAAGACAGTGTCGCGCGGTCGTAAAAAAATTGTGACATTTAATGCGCGGACAGGTCAGGCGAGAATCACTCGCGCGGGGCGGACGGTTAAGTGGTTAAAATAGCACCTTAATGCTGTTGTGTTTCGTATGGTGAGTGTAGAGAACCAGAGACCCTGCTTACTGGAAACGAGGCATTCCATCTTAGTCCTCACGGATGAAAACGCATCTGCATTTTGATTCGTAATCGAGGATAGATGTAGATGTCTAAGGGCCACAGCATGACTGTCTGTAACACTTATTCTATAAAAAAATGATATAAATAAATGTATCTTGTCACGTACGCACCTTGCTGCAAAGAGCACAACGCACCGACATTTCTGGATGCAAAGCATCCACGTGGGCTGCCAGAGCGGTCGGTGCTGGCAGCAAAGCACTGCACACGGCACACGTCTGCCACGAATCTGCATCATCCTGTAGGAATTGTACAATAATTTTGGTTCATCATCATCATCATTACAGCCGTTCACAAGTCCAATGCTGAACATAGGCCTGCCCCAAGAAATGCCATTGTAGTGTAGTATAACCCCCACGACTATATTATATATATATTAGTGTTAAGGTAGAATAAGATCATTATAATTAAAGTTAAAGAAGCAGCAACACGCCTCAATTTCTTATTTCCTAAAGCACGGTCCTGAGTCACCTGTATCAATCGACTTCCTGCATGTCTTACCATATCGTCACTCCATGTAGTTGGGGGCCACCCTACACTTCGCCTACCGATACGAGCATGCTACTCGATTTTAACCACAAAAAAATTTGGTTAATTTTAGCCATACGATTTAGAGGGAACTTCTTGTTTCTAAAGCTGGGAATAAAAAAATACCTGAATCTGTCTATCAAGTTAGATTTGAAGGAAGAATGTGGTTGATGCTGTCAAGCTTTTGTAGCGCATCAGGCATGATGTGGTAGAACCATGCGCAGCTATATTATAGTTGTAGCACAAATGGGTCGGCTCGATCGGAGAAGGACAACGCTCTCAAAGAATACCAGCATACATTAGCAACTTAATGATTTTGTATTTCGTATGGTCAGTGTACGTAAATGAGGCATTCCATCTTAGTCCGCACGGGTAACAACGCATCTGAATTTTGAATCACAAACGAGGGTAGATGTAGATGTCTACGGGCCACAGTATCCACTTGCCATCAGGTTGACTGTGTGCTCGTTTGTAAGTTTAATTCTTTAAAAAAATATAGCCTCCAATTCACTAACCCCAGTTTAAGTTTAAGTGTGCTAACAAAATAGATGTATTTAGTCTAATGATGACTTAATAAAATAAAATCTTCCTGCTTTTCTTACCAGGTTTTCACGCCATATAAAGATGGGCCGCTGTTTATTGACGATGTAAGAATATGCACTACCTTATATCGTCACAGAACGGGCTATGCCATGGGCATGCGACAGAGGTTAAAAAATATATCTATCATAATAAAAATTCCCACAATGCATCACTAAGAAAATTATACACGGTAATCCTCTAAAAATTTACATTAATTTTGAAATTAAAAGAAATTTTTACAACAAATTTTAATAAAAAATACCATATCTACTACCACACCTAGTCAAAATTTATTTGCTTACAGCCAAGAAGTGGAATAATTTGCGTCTACTTTTCTATCCGATTACAATTTGGGCATCTTCAAGGCAAGAGTGAATAGGCTTTTGTTACACCAAGGCAGTACAATTTACCGTCTAGGGCTTCATCACCACTTATCATAAGGAGGGATTGTAGTCAAGTTCAGGCTTATAAGTTAAAAAAAAAACACTCACCGGATTCTTGCTAAGGTCCAATAGCTCATGTAAATATGTTTCCATCATAAAGTCCCCTTGTTCGTCTTTGTGCGGTATCACCATGGGTGGATTATTCTGGAATTAAAGCTACAATTACGTTTTAGTTTTCCTCACATCATTCACTATTTACAGCAATTTGCTCTAATTATTTGGTAAATAAAATAATGACTTTCAATAAGTATTATGTAATAATCTATATTTAATAAAAATTATTCTATTCTATTCTACTCTATTCTCCAATAAATTCTGAGCTTGATGGTGTCGTTTTCTTACAGAAGATGAAACGGGCATTACGGGCTTACTTAATGGTAAATTGTCATCGTCGACCATGAACATTTGTAACACCAGAGCAATTGCAGGTGCGTTACAATGCATTTAGAAAGGAGTAGTCTGAGTTTCGGCCCGGAAAACCACTGGCGACAATAAATTCCAAATGTGGTCATATGTGGCAGAAAATTTCAGTGTAAAACGCACGGTTGTGGACTGGCATAAAATGATGTGGATAGAATTTCGAGCTCTGTAACAGTGTACTATGGTGAAATACTATGGCGACCGCTCAAATCCGTCCAACTACAGGCCTATCGATATCGCCCCCTTGTTCTCCAAAGTAATGGAAACTATTATTAACTGCCAGCTCATACGGTACCTTGAGGATCACCAGCTAATTAGTGGTCGCTCAGCTGGTGATCTTCTACGTTACCTAACTCATAGATGGGCAGAGGCAGTGGAGTCCAAGGGAGAGGCATTGGCCGTTAGTTTGGACATGTTAGCGAAGGCCTTCCATCGGGTTTGGTACAAAGCGCTTCTTTCGAAGCTTCCTTTCTATTAACTAACTAGAATTAGATAATTTAAAATTTTGAACAACCGATCAAATTTATATGGGACCACATGAGAAGCACCAGCTTTCAAATAAAAAAAGAATCATCGAAATCGGTTCACCAAGAAAAAAGTTGTAAGGTAATACACATAAAAGAAAAACATACAGTCAAATCGAGTACCTCTTCGTTTTTGAAGTCGATAGAAATTACTCTGTAATACAGAATATAAACGTCAGAGGTGATAACGCATCTTTGTTTGAAGTTGGTTGCAGATGTTCATGGATTGCAATAGCCACGTACTGTCAGGTAGACTGTAAATTTGTAACTTCAGTTTTTATTGAAAAAAAATGACATACCTCTTGCAAATTGTTCCCTTCAGTTTTGTCATCTGCACACGAATGTGAATCAAAGTATTTCTTCTTTAAATACATCTTCTTACAGATAATACAGCAAAACACTTTCAAGTCTGAAAATCAAATGGCATTACTAAACTACTGTCATCATCATCATTACAGCCGTCCAAATCAACTGCTGAATGTAGGCCTCCCCGGAGGAATGAGAATGCCACGGAGCACGGTAAAGCCACTTGCATCCATCAATTTCCTGCATCCCTTACGAACTCCATTTAGTGGAAGTGCCCTGCACTTCACTTACCAGTACAAGGCTGTCAGTTCTTAAAACAACCACCAACTAAAAACTGAAAGCTGGCTCAATGATATCAGGTCGCTATCACAGAATGCCAGCCAGCGTGAAATAGGTCATGAATATGGTGAGTTGAGAGAAGTAGAGACCATTTTTACTAGTAACGAGTCATCCCACTTTAGTCCTCACAGGTGCCAAAGAATTCATATTTTGGTTCCTAATTCAATTTAATTCATTTTGAGTATATATGATATTGAGAGTATTATATACATAATTGAGTAAACATGTGATAATTTTTGGCACAGCATCAACTTACCATCAGGTGGACAGCATAATCATTTGTCACATACTTCTATAAAAAAAAGTTGAATCTTGTTCTTGGAACCCGACCGACCAAAAAATGTGGTAATAATTTTCGTTTGTATAATATGTATGTATATTTCAAAAGGCAATTTGTAGTGTAAGGTTTATAATTAAATGTACTATTTCAAAATTTATATATTACAAATTTAGTGAACTATAGAGACGGCTAACTCGGTGTTTCTGAATGAAGAATATTCACAGTAGAACCAATGTAACTGACAGAGTCTAACGGATCAGTAAGTCGAAGTGACACTGGGCCAGCCACAAAGCTCGAAGAAGCGACAAAAATTAGTAAAACTGGTTCTATTGAATGGCAGCGTCGAACCGATAAATGAAGTGTAGAGTAGTCTATGCTAGATGGACGACCTGGTAAGATATACGGGATAACGATGGATGCAGGTGGCTCTGGATCAAGTTTTGTGGCATTCCTTAGAGGAGGCCTTAGTACAGCTGTGCACTTGTTAAGAGTTTTAATGATGATTATGATGACGAATATGTAATGAAATTAGTACATTGAAGATGGTCATAGTAATTAAACATCTGCTTAATCAGCCATTATTAATAGCATAAAAATCTTTAGAACTATAAACTATCGGGATAATAATATTTCAGGAGATTGTCAACAAGTAGTCAATAAATAAGAATAATTAATTAATCAAGATTTCATAATTGGTCCATTAAATTTGTTTGTCAAGTAGCTATTACCTATCGTAGTTCAAATATTCCTGTGTACATAGTTTACCTTTTTACTGAGAAATTTGTATAGTTGTATAATGAAAGGTAGGTCTCGAATTACTAGTGGTATCTTATTATATACTGTCATATACATCCAATAGCAATTTTTATGTCTTTGGGAATTATAGCGGTAACCAATCTATTCCTGTTTCTGGTGCTTCGTTTGTAGACGTTTTTAGCATGTGTGAAATAATTCATATTGTTCTTTAGAAGTTTTGCCGCTTCAAAAATATATAGACAAGAAAGTGACAAAATGTTCAAAGATTTAAACAAAGGCTGACATGGCTCGTCAGGTGCAGTACTACATATTGCTCTTACACACTGTTTTTGTGCAATGAACGCCTTTTTTATGTCCGTGCAATTACCCCATATGATGAATCCATATCGCAGGCCTAGTTCAACGCAAGCAAAGTACGCAATAAGAGCTGTACTCCTTCCTGCTATTTTTGTCAATTTATAAATTGCAAACAAGAAACGAATGATTTTGTTGCACACTTTTTTAACTTGTTGTTTCCAATCAAATTTTTGATCAATTCCTATACCCAAGAATTTCGTTGTTACTGTATTTTTAAGTATTTGTCCTTCAGAATTTATATAATGTCAGATTTTGTATATTATTAGAGTTAATTAAATTCGTTTTGTCAATATTGTTAATTAAATTATTATTACTAAGCCAATTAATTATTTCAATTATAGTTTCATTAATGTCATTTTTGTGGTCATTTAATGTCAATTTGTTATCAGTTATCACTATTACAGATATAGGATACATCGTTGCTTGGTCACATTTGCGAGATTATTAATATAAATCAGGAACAGAAAAGGTCCCAGTACACTTCCTTCAGGAACACCAAACTTATTTTCCCTAAACTTAGACCTGTAGTTTTTCACTACATGGTGAGAGTCAAGTTTTGCGATTGCATTCTATTTTGCAAGCATGTTTCTATCCAGTTCTAAACAGGGCCTCTAACGCCGCAGTGCTCTAACTTTGCTAGAAGTTGTTCATGTGAAACAAAATCGAAAGCTTTCGACATATCAAAGAAGAGCGCCGTCGTATATTGTTTGTTGTTTAGTTGTGTAAGGGTCTCATTCACTAAGTCATATACCGCATGTGTAGTGGATTTGCTTTTTCGAAATCCATATTGATTGTGTTTTAGTATATGATATTTATCAAAAAACGATGAAGTTTTTCATACATATCTTTCTCATACACTTTGGATAAGATAGGAACCAGCGTAATGGGCCGGTAGTTACTTACGAGTGTCTTTTTATTCTTTATAAATAGTGGCTTCACCGATGAGAATTTTAATGTCTGGAAATATCCCAGAGACCATTGACTGATTTATCAGAAACGCCAAAACAACGCCTAACTGTTCATTACATATCTTGATAATCTTTGTAGATACCTCGTCGTATCCGTCTGAATTTGTGTTATTCAGTGATAAAATTATTTTCCTAACATAATATTCGTCAATGGGGGTCAAATAAATAGTTATTTAAAATGTCACTAGGAGTTTCACGTATATGTTTGCATTATTTTTATTTGTCAATTCAATAAAATAGTCGCAATCTGTGTAGGATCTTTTATGACATTGTTTTTGTATTCAATTGAATCTATATAATTATTAATATACTGCGGTCTAGTGTCAATAACATCCTGTATTAATTTCCATGTAGCCTTACAAATATTTGTGATTTTTAATACGTATGTATTTCTTGTTTGTTTGTATTTTTGCTTGGAATATTTTTTAATAACTTAGAATAGGTGTAGTATTTACTTTTGTTAGTATAATTTCTTTTTTCATAATAATTGTATTTTCATAATTATTTGAAATCCATTGTAGCTTTGCTTTTGTATTTAGTTTGACTTTACAAACAGGAAAACAAAGTTTATAAAGTATACAGAACCAGTCATGGAATTCATTAAAAGCTGCATTTGGTTCTTCCTCAATATACACTTCTGAATAATTTAAAATTAAAATTTTTTTACAGCCGACTTCAATATAAGTTATTAAGAATAACTCAAAAACTATTGGTCGGACCTTGATCAAATTCATATGGGACCACACGAGAAGTATCAGCTTTCATACAAAAAAAAAAATCATGGAAATAGGTTCACCCAGTAAAAAGTTATGAGGTAACACACATAAAAAAACATACAGTCGAATTGAGTACCGTCTCCTTTTTGGAAGTCGGCAGAAAAGATATACACGCCACATATGCTTTGAATTTTGCAATATTTTCAGTAGAGTAGCATCTCTTAGAAATATGCATAACTTTTGGTGGTTCATTTTTTAACTTTTTGTTGAAACCAATCACCTGAGCAGTGTCATGGTCTGACAACCAGTGTGGCAGAACAGTCCCACTTGCACCTTTTACGTTACAAAATATATGGTTAATGCATGACAGTCTTCTAATGGGCTCCGTTATATGCTGGTTTGGATTATAGTTTTGTAGATGTGTGGTCATATTATTATTTAATAAAGTGTTAATATTAATAACCCCTGCAGTAACTATTTTTTGCTTAGGATATTTGAACAAGAATTTACTTAGTAGTAGTTCAAACTTGTCAAAATCGATTCTAAATGCCTTTTTTTTGTGGCGGTTGAGGCTCGGTAGACACAAACAATTACGTTTTGTAGAGGAATCAATACAGAGCAGCACTCAAAATGAAAATTGGCTGTATATATTATTACAAATTGAATTGTTTTTATATGCTATCCCGTTTTTAAGTAATGTGCAGGTGCCACACCTTCTTTTATTCTTTGAGTAATGCGCTACAAGCTCGTACTTATGAATATATATTTTTTTTCCTCATCGTTGTTTATTAAAGTCTCGGTGAATCACAGCACATCAGGGCTCAAATCACACTCAAGTTCCGATAACGTTATCTCGATAAGTTCCTTTTTAGTTAGGCCCTGAATATTTTGAAGTACTCTAATAAATTTATTTAGATTTCTATTAGGCACGAAAAAAATCCCGTACATTCTTGGTAGGTGATTTTATAACATTGTTTAACACGTTTTTTATGCTGTGAAAGTAAAACGGCATTGTACCCTTTTTAGGTAATTGGGTGTTATAATTATTTTTGACGGATAGAGTATTTGAAATACAACTTCTGCACTCAAGATTTCTCAATCTCAATTTTAGGCTATTTAATATGTATTGCTGTTCGTATTTTAGATAGTCTATTTCTATATTTAATTTAGGGCTGATTTTATGATGTGATATTTTATTTTGTAACTATCTATTTAATAAGTGGTCAATATGAATAAAAGTACAGTTTTTGTAATTTTTTAAATTACGAAAACTGTACTGTACTGAATGGCAGCTGTGAAAACGTTGTCTGTATAATCATGATCAGAGAGTGACTCGAAGGAATTCTCTGTCGATACATTTATTATATACTTTTCGTTTTGAGTTTTAGACCAAAATTGGTCACATTTCCATTTAGTTGTAGGATATTTGTCCTTGTGCAATTTATGTTTGTAAACTGCCTCCACGACACGGGAGAAAATCCTAGTGTGGAGGTAACGTTTTTTGTGTTTTTTTTTAAATTCCATTTAGTTTTGTTTTCCTTAGTCATTATAAAAACTTTTTTTCTGACACATTAGTGTAGTCTACTTGGTTATTTTGTGTACAAGTTATGCAACGTAGTTGTTGATTATAGCGTTTTGATATTATTTTATTGCACTTACTGCAGTCTGACTCCATCTTACGTTAGTAGTAAGAAAAAACATTAAAGTGTCACATGTACAGTTTAGTTCAATTCCTTGGCATTTATTTAGTTCAATATATATTATTGGACTACATAAGAGTTATAGTCCAGAACATATTTTTATCGAAATAAATAAAATTAACGGACTTGTTGCAATAGTTATTGTTTGCGATCTGAATTTGTATTTTTCTACACTGTTATGTATCACATTGGTTTACTTTAGCTTATAAATAATGAATATAGTCTTGTTTACATTAATTTACACATAATTAGTCATTTTCACTGTCACCTGCTCACAAAACTAACAATCGTCATTATCTCACATGTCTTTATATTTTCCTAGGATAATATTAGCACTGTTATTGTCCACAATTTTGCAAATACTGATCACTTTTGCAATATTTATAATCAAACTAATCGATTTTTAATTTAAAATATACATGGAGCTGATGTTTACATGACAGTGGCGCCATCTCTCCTCTTATGTGTGCATTATTATAACTAATTATTACATTTATTATTACATACCCTTATGCTCTGTCATATGCGTGACTAATTCCTCTTTGGTTTTAAATTTCCCTTTGCAGAAGGAACAGTTCAATCTTTTCACCGGAACCGTTTTCAAATAATATCCATTTTCTGATAATTTATTTAAGATTGTCTGCAACAAAATGAAAGTGGTAAAAGAAACCGATGAATAACAATGAGGGTTTCCACAACTTTTTCTAACAAATTTGAACCCATTTTAACATAAATTTTAAACTTTAGCAAATGTTTATTACATTATGTGTGATTGTTGAGCGACTCTCCGGTACTTAGCCGACATAATTGTGACTTTTAGGTAAAAATGATCACTTGGGTATTACGTAACGTTTAGGGAGGGGGGGGGGGGTTACAGGGGTACAGAAAAACGTTACGGCGCTTACATACATGGGGGGAGAGAGAGTCAAAAATCTACATACATTCTGTCCATTTTATGTTTTAAATTCACGCGTACTATTTTACTCGCGCATACATTCGTAAGGGTCGATCGGTCGGCAAAAACGTTGTCCATTGGATAATTTCCAATAAAAGCAGGAGCCTTATTTAGTCGTAATTTCAAAAACTGCAATAACGGTGTATCATTATTTATATATTTGAACCTAAATAAAAAATTTGGATACTCTTCGCAAAAAAAAAACCCTGTATACAATTATGTAACATAAATATTGACTTCTTATGTGCACGCGAATACTACACATGGAATAAAACTAATTTTACGAATTTTATCGCGTTTAATTTTAAATTTTTTAATTCACGACGTTTCAGCAGGCCTTTTTCACTCTTGCTACCTGCGTGAAATAATTACCTACAATCGCGAGCTGTCCCAGGGGTAGATCTCAGTCGGGGCTAGCGCGCTCTAAACGATTGAATGTTAAAGTTTTTTTTAATGCTGTTTACGTAAATAATTTTTTGTAAATACTTGTTGAAATACTCGTCATAATAGTTTTTGTTTAGTGTTTAGTATATTTAATTGTAGGATAAAATGGTTGAAAAAGTTTTAATGTCATTTAAGAACACTATATATATAAAGGATTGAGATATATCATTTTTTGAGTTACCAAAGGATAATGAAAGGTAAATTTACTTCATTTTTTTGTTAGATAAGGTACTTATAGCAAAAATAATTAAGTAATAATTTAACTACAGAAGTAATACCTAAGTACTTACTTATTACAAAACTTAGTTGAAATTTACTTCACTACCCCAGTACCTACTTACATAGCTATCTCTCTGTAACTCGTCTTTGTAATTAAAATATTTTAAGTTATAGTAGCACAAAATACTGATATTAAAACTTTGTTTACAAGATTTTCAACTAAGTAGATTACGGTCATATTTATGTTAGGAATCGTATTTCGAGTTTATTTGTTGTTTACACTATCTACCTATACGAACCAAGCATCTAGATTCCCGACGAATGGTCTGGCAAGTTGCATGCGTTGGGCATCACAGAACTGACATAGTAGATAATATGGTCGATTATAGTCAGCATAGGTACTTTACCTAAGTAACTTACCATTTCACAATGTATTTTTTTACATTTTATTAACAGCCCTTAGCAACCACGGAAAGTCCGTTGTGATACGGACGGATACGCTAATACGGACAGTCGCGCGCAGCGATAAAGTTTTATTTAACTTGCGTGCCCGATTCATCTGATTAATAATAACTACGTAGGCTATTAAAACGTCGGCAAGCAGTCAACATCAAAACAGTGCAACTTCTGTACCTAGTACTATTATTTATTGTTTGGTTTCAGGCACTACAGCACCCATGCTGACGTGGACTGAGGTGTTTAACGTTAATCCGATAGATTTGTTCACTGTCAAACATAATATATTCTCACAACCCAAATTTCTTCGAGTACATTATACTCGAAGGGATTCTTCAATAACAATTATTACCATAAAAGTATTAGCTGAAGGGATAATTTTAACTTTAAAATGTAAAGATTATCCCTTGAGCTTTCCGAATTCGATATTCGTCGGCAACTATAAAATTGAATTAATTGGAATTTAAGCACCGTTGTGAGGTAACCTATATCTCTATGATATTAAAAAAAAATAAGTGAAAGCAAAACTAACGTTAGTCAAGATTAACATTAACTTACACCTGTGACCATCTTCTTAGGTCTGCCCCTCTTCTTTGGACCCATAACCTCGGCATGCCTCTCCCACATGTGTTTGGTGAGTCCGTCAGAATCAATAAAGCTAATACCACATAACGGACAAAACGTGTTACTGCTATCCTCGACTTCCACTGAAAAATAAAACTTAAGTCTCACTGATTTGAAACTCACCGCTAAAAATTAAATTTAAAACTAGTATTGCCTGACCTACTGTGACGAAACAACGTCAGGTTTCCTTTACAGCTGTAAGGAAGGCAAAAGAATCTTAGCATAGAGCCAGAAGTGTAATCAGATGCTTTCATTTAATTAGTTTAAGCGTTTTATATGGATTTTTGAAGTTATACATCTTTTGGGGCGTTTGGGAAAAATGATGAGAGTGATTTTTTACGATGCGCGCTTACACCGACACATAAAATCGACACCATGAAGTTGTTACTATGCGCGCGCACACTGACACCTAAAAGCGACAACTTCAGTGGGTAATTGCCTCTCAACTTCAGTGGGTAATTGCCCTTTTTCTGTTTTATTACGCTAAAGAAGGATAACTTCCTACGTACGTACGTAAGTACACACACACACACTTTTTTATTATAAAACGGAAGTGACATACGAACTCACAGTCCACCTGATGGTAAGTGGCAACTGCAGTCCATGGACATCAGCGGCCAACTTCGAACAGAGGCTACAGATGCATTGTCAGCTCAGAGGACTAAGATGGAATTCAGCTTCATACTAGAAAGAACACAGCAGTGCAGACATCGTACTATTTGGCGGCGTTACAGGTGATAGGGAACAGGTGGAACCCCTAGATAGAAATGGAGTCCTATTACCAGGTAAAAGTATCAAATATCACGTAGTATATTCGAATTATTATACCAGCCAGACTTTTTGTGCACATCTCTGGCACAGGAATTTTTGAATGCCATAAGTTTCATTTCGCTTCTTTTATAATAAGTACTAAAAAAAGGTACTTCTAATTTCGATGTTATTATCAGTACCCGGTGACAGAGCTCTGCTTGTAGTTAGATAAAATTTTTGATTTTTAATATATAAAAAAATAAGGAGTAAAACCTATCTATATAATTTATAATAGTAAAACATTATCAAAATACAAAATTTTATCCAAATGTCGTTTCCGAGAAACCTATTAAAATATAAGTATAATCAATTACAATAAGACCCGTCTTATGCAAAAATGATCTAACCCACAAACTGACCAAAAATTATCCAGAGCCACTTTTTCAAGTCCAGAGGCACATTTCCAAGTGTTAAAGACTTTTGAAAAATAATAAGTAATCCCAAAATCTACATTCAATTTTCTTTAAAATGATATACATAACACGATATATTAGGGCGTCTGTCACAAGAAAAATGCATTTATGTTTCAAATCTAAATAACTATGTATTTCTGCATAACATGGTCCAATATATACAAAAAAAATCTCATTTTAAGCATAGGATCATTTATAATCTGATAAGATAAATAAAAAACTTCGCCATACTGCAGATACTCAAGAAATTAACCACCATTTACTGGCAACAGCTACATTTACGCTCAGCGTTAACTGTAGAGTATATCAAGAATTGAAATTTCTGTGACATCGTTACCTAATTATTTTTAATAAATTAAAAAACAATGGACTCTTTATAGCTTCATTTAGGATTTAAAAGATAAAAAGGACAGAATGTTTACGATATTTTTTAATTAATCTTTCTTTACCATTTGCCTATATTACTTATCCTGAACACTCGGTTGGAACGAAGTTCCTTTCGTAGTATATTATTATTAATAAACGTATTATATTATTGGTTAACAAATAAATCAATTACTAGCGTTTAAAATAAATATCATTTAAAATAAATAATATTTCCTTAATGGCAAGATAAGAAAAAGTGCGAGGGAGGTGGATATTATTCCATCGTTCCAACGGTCGTGACGGAAAAATCTTACACTTTGCCATATAGGACTGCATCACCACTCACCACCAAGTGTGATTGTGGTCAAGCACTGGCTTATATTAAGTAGAAAAAAAAATTCGCTCCCTTCGCAAGTTGCAATGATGTAAATCTAGTTTATAAGACACAAATCGCAATTGGCAGAGGTTTAAAGCTAGTTAGTAAGATACAATTCGTAAGTTTTACTAGGTTATAGGATCTCTTTGCTTCCTAGGTGTCCGTTTGGGTGGGTACTACTCTATCACTAAGCAAGCACTGCTGTGTTCAGGTTTGAAGAGTACAGAGTCAGCATAATTACACACTGTGAGGCATTCCATGTTAGTAGTCAGAGGTGACAACACACCGGTAGAGTTCTTTGTTCGAAGTTGGTAGCAGGTCTCCATGGACAGCAGTTGGAATTTACCATCAGGTGGATTGTGAGTTCGTTTGTTACTTCTAATTTATTTATTTGAACCGTATTGTTTATGTTTGTTTAAGTAAGGCGAAGCTAGTGGAAGGAACACAATTAGCATGTTTCACTAATCTGAAACTATCTAATAATACACGGTTCGCAAGCTGCAGTCAGATGAATCTAGTAGCCAACAGGAAATATTCGCAAGTAATAGTGATAGCACATTCGTAGTATTTTTTAAGATGCGCACGCACACCGACACCTAAAAACGACACTAGGAAGTTGTTACAATGTGCGTGCACACCGACATCTCAAAGCGACATCTTCATTGGGTAACTGTCTCTCAACTTTTCGTGGGAACTGATAACTAACTATATTTAAAGTAGTTATTTTTAATTATTTTTGTTTTGTTACGCTAAAGAAGTATAACTTCCTAAGTGCGAACACACGTTTTTTTCTTATTATGAATTTTCAATATGATACCTGTTAACTAATAATAATAGCAAATATTTATTTTATAATCATTCATCATATTCTATTAAGTGTTACTATTATATGTTTATAAGTTTGTATAAGACGAGAACCATATACAATTGAAGAAACTTATAATTAATAACAGACGTAGGCAGATGCTTTGTGGATTAACAAGCTGAAATGTCAATAGCCTGACCAACAAACATAGAAAGTCAATCTTTCTCGAATGTCAGCTCTATTTGAGCAAATTCAGGGTAACCACTCACTTCACCAAAGTATAATCTCATGCAGGGATTTTATGGCACAAATCTAGGGACAGAGATCTATTGCTAATTTTGGGTTAAACCCAACGGCTTGTGGATATTTTTAATAAAAATAATAACTATTTACCTTTTATACATTTCTTTTGGGGCTTTTCTTGTGTATTAACCGCTGCCACAATATCCATATTGACGATCTTATCAGGCTCTGTTTCATTTCCACTCCCTTCATTTTTAACAATGTCTATTTAAAAAAAAGAAGATAACATTCAATCAACACACATAATTTAAAATGTAATATAAATTATTATTAAAATAATTATAATTATAAATGTTTTTTATAATTATATGTATAAAAAACGACTCCATTAGTAACCAATCTATTAATGCCTAAAAGGTCATTTTTTATATTTTTCTTTGCAATCAAAACTAGCAGTTCATTTTACAACTATATATAACAAGATAATTTTACCGCAGTTTAAAGATCTTACAGTTGGGAAACGAATGCAATGCAGCGGTGGTTCTTACGGAGCAGGAGCCCACGCGACCCTGTGCTAGAGCACTTCTCCGAGTTTGATAGACAATACCCAGACTGGTGAATTACTGTTATAGTTATAGGAGATATTAAGTAAAATTGAATTCAAATGATGGCCATGCTTTTGAGTCATTCATTTTTATTTGATAACATTGTTTATCCGAATGCGAATACACTACATAATTAAATTTAAAAATCGAAAACGGAAAACATCTATAAAAAGAAAGTGTCACGAAAATATTTGACGGTGCAACACTAATAATATGTGTTTTTTCTTGTAGTAATAAAAAATGATATTGCTTATAAATGTTTTTAACTTATAAGTATGTATGTACATAACGTTAATAAATGATAATGAGTATTATGATATCCAACATTATTTTATTTCTATTGTCGTGACAGCTCCTAGCATATTCGCTGGCCGCGTAAATACCTACGCAGGCGGCGGAATCGCCTGACACAAAGGCGTTTCACAACTGTAAAGCCGCCTCCACATGCTTGGCAAACAACGGCCAACAGCGAACACCAAAGAACAAACAAATGTTGATTGCCTGATTTTGTTTGTGATTGCCATTGATCGGCGTCGATGTCGCTTTTTGAGAACAAATCAAAGGGTGTTCGACAAACATGTTTTTGATGTATCCAAACGCTTGTTAGCAATCAGTCGTACGCGCGAGATTGCGGATAGCGGATATTATTATTATACTCTACACTGTGCCATTGTGTATTTAGGTACTGGTGTATTTTGTCTTTTTTAAATAAAAATAAGTCAATCTCGTCGTCCGCCATGTTTGCCTATCCCGAATATACTAGCACGTTCGCCAAGCCTGCGGATGCCGTGTTTGTGTTGGGTGATTGTGGTCGGTGTTTGGCACGTGTTTGGTGATTCTTGGTGTTTGTGGCAAACACTCTTTAATAAGAAAATATCACAGGTGCTATGCACTCGCTACAATAACCCATTACACGAGCCACCAGGATTCGATTTTTAATTGGCATTTTGTGTCGGTTGCCGCGCTCGGTGATAAAGTATAACATCGTGAGATAACCCGCATGTATGAGAAATAATAATATTGAAGAAACAAATGAGGTCCGCCAAAACGCACTGAAGCAGTGCGCTCACTAATTGTTCCCTAACTCTCTTGGAAATGAGTTGAGGCCGCTGCTATACAGCGGAATGTATATATACTACAATATGTAATAAACCCTGTCCGTTTAATAACTTAACATTAAATGAAGATATCGCAATATTTTTTTAGATAAGACCAAGAGTCTAAGAAATAAAACTTAGAAAACCTAATTGAATTCTATCCAGTAGTTTATCCGTGATGCGCGCACAACTGCAAACCCCAATCATTTTATTTATGTAGATATAGTTGAAAAACAATGTGTGTTACTTTGCTAAAATTTAAACTTAAACTTAAAAATTTAATGGATTGCAGTGGAACTTCGACCAGTGACTGCTAGTTTTACAAAATTGCTAAATTTTAAGCAAAATGTAATAAAAAAAACATGTATTTTAAATAACAATAACATTTTTATATTCATCAATAACATGTTTTAATTTTTTGTAGTAATACCATATTTAGGTGCTTATGATGTCACTTACAGATTGGACAGGGTTTTCTTTACATATTGTTTAAAGAACATTTTATTAAATAGCAATATATAGATTACCCAAATAATCCAATACCTGTGTCTGAGAAGCTATTGTCATCAGCAGGCAATTCTGTGTTGTACTGCAAACCCATGCTATCTTCACGATCATCCAATCCATAATGCTCCATTTTGACACCAACATTATTATTCTGTAAATGTATTTTAATGATTAACAGGAGTTAAAAACAGAGTAAGAAGAATGTATTAATAAAGTTACACATTCTAGTGAGGAATACTTGATAGAAAATGGTCTTTTTCTTATTGCATTTGATTATTTAATTGGAACTTAAAGTATCCTAATTTTTTTGTAGCTCGAATGGGTCGGCTCGGCTGGGGAAGGACCACGCTCTCACAGAATACCAGCGTAAAATAGCAGCTTACACTGCTGTTTCGTATGGTGAGTGTAGAGAACCGGAGACCCATTTTACTGGAAAAGAGGCAATCCATCTTAGTCCTCACGGGTGACAACGATCTGAATTTTGATTCCCAAACGAGGATAGATGTAGATGTCTATGGGCCACATCAACCACTTACCATCAGGTGGACCCTATCCTATAAAAAAAAAACTAGTTTTATAGATTTTATCGCGTATATTAATTTATTTTATATTCCCGACGTATCGAGTAATTTACAGCACCCATGGTCACGGGGGGGACTGAGGTTTTTGACGTCCCAATGTCATAGTTAACCACGGCTATCTCCAGATAAAAAATTATTAATTTTTGTACCAATCTACGCAATCCTTAAAACTAGTTTTATTTAAATGTGTAGTGTTCGCGTAAATATAAGATATCCTAATTTGTCTAAGTGTGATTCAGTATATAAGGAGGCTACAGAAACATTGTTACGTCTGAGGACTAAGATGGAATGCGTCACAATCTGTAATTAAACTAGCTTTCTATATCATTCAGACCGGAACAAAGGAGTATTATTTAGCACCAAATGCAGGTAATATTGAGGTACCTACCCAAAATGGGGTACTAGGAGGTAAGGAGTCCCAGCACGTAGTAAAATATTTCTCAATTTGGAGGTGATTCAATTATTTTGCAATGACATTTTATTTATATTCCAGCAATTCTAATACCACAGAGTAAAGAGTAAGGACCAGAGGGGAAGCTTCTTAACAAGGTTGAAAATACATGTGAAAATTTAAGGAAAAAATAAAAATATTGTATAGCATAAGACATGTGCATTAATTATAACTTATAATAATGTAACAACATATTTATTAATTGTTCGAAATCAAGAGCTGTTTCGTATCGATTAATTTTAAACAATATGGAAAAAACTAAAATATTATATAGTGTATAAAATAACATGCGTATTTATTATTACTTATGTTACATAATGTAACAACATAATATCTATTAATTGCTCAAAATTAAGAGCTGTTTCGTATCAATTAATTTTAAACAATATATATTATTTACCTATATAAATTTATAACTTAATTATATTAATTAAAAGACTTAAATCTAATTATTTAATAATTGCAAAAATACTTAATAAATTAATTGATGTATAAAATTTCGAAATATTGTTGGTCTATTTATTTAAATGCGCACGAGTAACAGCCCTTTCATGGCTACTCTGATTGAGCCGGCGCAAACCGGTTTGTACCCCGACGGAGCGTCGGTGAACCTGTCGGTGAGAGCTCACGCACACATCGCTGCCCTATGTATGCGTGTATTCGCAGCAAGCCGTTTGTATGTAGCTTCCCCTCTGGTCGGTTTCTTTACTCATGTGCTAATACTTATGATAAGTTAGGTAGATATCTACTTGGTAACAATTCCAAGTAATGTTACTTGTAAGTTACAACATTAAAATAATGTTTCCTGTGGAGCTACTGCAAAAAAAGACAAAAAGGAGATACTGGGTGAAGAAACTGCTCTTTATACACTTCCATCACCAGCGTCCAAATTTCACATTCTTTATTGTATCCATTGTGACTTGTACTCAAACGTGTGCTCTGTGCCAAAATCGCTAATGAACTGATTGAAGTTGCCCCAATTGCGCTACACATGTGGCAGTCGTAGGTATGATCCAGGGAGCAAGGAAGGTGTTGCGCCCCTGGTGTCCAGCCGCAGGGCCGATTTCAAAAATTGCTCTTGCTTCACATCACACATCCCAAAGGAAGCAATTAAGGGTCATCCCCACTCCTACACCCTAGATTGCCCCTGCGGCAGGCAAGTAAATAGCCGGCTGTCATTTCTATAATTCATTGGTAAGTGTCCTATTCCGAAACCTTATTGATCAATCTAGTATATAACTTTATTATTGTTAACCTTATTACTATAGAAATATTTATATTATTATTTTTTATTCGACATAAATTATAAATAATATTTATTGAAAGTCATTTCAAGTTTTATTAGAGCTGATTAGCAATATCCCACAGTCCTGAAAGGTAGAACAACTATGTGTGAAAATTATTACTAAATTCGACCTTGATTGATAGATTGATTGACGTGGAGTAGACACTAGCCTAGTGTCTAATGTTAAAGTGTGAATATTACGTGTGGCAAAATCTTAAATTCAACCTTAATAATTAATGATTTTAAAAATCAATAAAAAATCATACATCAATACTCAATGTTTCTTCTAAAACTATAAAATCATTTTCTTTCTTAAAAATATTATGTAGAGCAATAGCCGCTTCCTGAGATTTCTTTTTAAAATCATAAGCGTTAACAGCCTTGTCTTTGCATTCCAGACAGATTTTTGAAGGTAGTCCATCACTTTTGTCAATCTGAAAACAAAAATATAAATAACTGACGTCAACGTTATGGCATTGCGTTCTACGTATTATATAATATAAAAGTTGGAACAGTTGAACAGTCAATACCCTCACTAATTTTAAATATAATCATAGCAATAAACAGTTTTTGCGTCAAAGAACTTTGGGTCTCACTTCCTTTGTTTTCCACTTTGTTATTAACCATATAAATGTATGCGTTACAATTTTTAGTATAGGTAAAAAATAAAGTTACAGGCTCATGTCCCACTGCAGACCACAGGCCCCTTCTCATTTTTGATATGTTTTGGGTTTTGGGCAAGTGGCCCTATAGTGTTGGTGACTAGACTATGCAGTCTAAGAAATTTAAATAAGTCTAGTTTCCTCACAGTGGTCACTTTCATGAGCATGTACTAAGTCAGTACTCAAAATTACCATCAACAATGTTATTGCTGCCAGCAAGGATTGTATCCAGATTACATGCATACTGAGAAATTCACAGCGAGCACTTAGCTGTTGAGCTACCAATTCTGATGTTTAGCATTTAGGATTAACATGTGTAACTTTGTTGTTGGAGTTGTTGGGGACACTAAGCTCAAAGTTGTTGACGAGTAAGTTTACCTGGGACAAATAGTCTGAGTAGGTAAGTGCAACTTCAACCGAGAGGTCAATTGACAGATTCAACTCAGCTGGGCAGTGTTCAGGAAATTACTGCATATCTTCTTATCAAGTATACCTCTAAAATTAAAAACTAGACTGTACAACCAGTGCGTGTTGCCATTGCGATGACCTATGGAACTGAAATGTGGTTCTTCACTGCTAGCCGTATGAGGAAGCTCAAGGTCGGTCAGCAAGCTATGGAGAGGGCTATGTTTGGGGTTTCTCTGTGTGATAAACTTAGAAATGAGGATATCCGCCGTAGAACCAGAGTTACCTACATAGCCCAAAGGATTAGTAAGCTGAAGTGGTAATGGGCTGGCCATATAGCTCGAAGAACCAACAACTGAAAGTAATAATTAAAAAGTTAAAGGTACTCAGGGTTAACTTTGACATCAGGACGTCAATCACCTCAGTTCCCCTTTGACCATAGGTGCTGCAAAGAACCCGAATGTTGGGAAGTTAAAATTAGTAAAATCAAACATGATAAAATCCATAAAAGTACAGTAGCGCCAGGATAATCTGAATGCCTCTATAATTCAAGTGACACCCCGACCCACCACCATGTTAAAGTAGATATTTCAATTTCAAAAAAATGTTATAGTGGAAATTGAGAGATAAAGCATTTTCTTCATCAATCAATGTCATTCATCAAAGTACTGTACTAGATTTTTTAAAGTGTAATAATACATGATGATTAAACTTTGTATTCACATTCAATTGTAAATATTTCAAAAAACACCTTTTATAATATATACATAATATAATCAGGATACCTTATTAATCCAAACAGGATGTAAATTTTTTGTGTTTGGATTTTCGAGGCCCTACTGTAGTTTTATTCAATGTGTAGTGTTTATGTAAAGATAAGAAATTATTGTATATTATGTAATATTTATATTATAATTAGTGTTAAAATGAGATGATTTGATCATATCAACCTATATATTTGGTGACACTAATGACATGTACGATTAGAATTTTATTATGAAGGGATAAAGAAAAATTAGGCTAGAAAGGAAATAAAGAACAAAACAGGCTGTGGTAAGTAAATGTCTTAAATTTCTAACTATTTACTGTATTTTACTCAAATATCTAACAGACTAACCTCCACTCCTGTTATTGATGTAATTATATGGCCCAGAGTTGTAGCCTCCAGATATACATCGAAGATAGAGCACAGCTCTATTTCTTTAGCTAAACAAGTTCGACACAAATCTTCTACCTTAATTTCTACCCTTTTTCTTGATGCAGCCATATTCGGCCAGCACAAACTAATTAGTAACACAAAATCACAAAAAATCAATGCGTACAATGCATATTCAAAAGATACAACAATAATAAAAATTTAATAGAAAATTATATGATTTATGTTATATGCAATTGAACACACCCAATAAAATAACAAAATAATCAGAATAATTTAACTTCATATTGCGATAAACGATAAGAGAAATTAAAATACGTTCCCAAATATTTTCAGTACATATATTTATAGTTTATAGTAGTTTATAGGTACTCTGTGGCACTCTGTCCTAGCATAAATAAAGTAATCTATGAGTCTATGACTGTCTCTATGCTAAATATTTACTTTTTTATCACAGACTACCTAGAGATCATCACAGACTACCAAGTAAAGTCTTGCATGCCGAAAGCGCAAAGCGCTTAGGTATGTACTGCTTGGGCCTAAAAATTAAGATTACAATGTTTTGTCGCATGAAATCGTATCTAGCAATCTTATTATACATATAAATGATATAAAAACCACATTATCAGAAAGATAAATGATTGTTAAACGTATTAATTTTTTTTTAATCGATTAATTGTTATTTTTACATAAGAAAGGGGTTTTACTGGCTTATGGTGTGGATTTATCAAGTCCGCATGGCTTCGTAAACATGATAACTTTTGAAAATATCAATTGTTCAACTCAATCTATTTTTAAAACTCTTCATCTATCATGTGAGAAGCCATGGAATATAAATGGCAGTTTAATTTTGTTTTGCTTAATTATAATTAATTTTTTCGGCTAAAATGGCGAAATTTTCAGTGATTTGTGAGCCTTGTACACAGAACACAATTACTCTATTAAGAGGCCTTGTCCAACTTATTTTATTAAATACACTGTGTCACTCACCCATAGCCTATAAATCTGGAGTATATACATAAATAATTTAAAATTAAAAAATTTGTACAGCCGACTTCAATATAAGTTACTAAGAATAACTCAAAAACTATTAGTCTGACCTTAATCAAATTCATAAGGGACTACAAGAGATGTATCAGCTTTCATATAAAAAAAGAATAATCGAAATCGGTTCACCCAGTAAAAAGTTATGAGGTAACACACATAAAAAACATACAGTCGTCTTGAGTACCGTCTCCTTCTTGGAAGTCGGCAGATGTATTTTAAATAGCACATCTCAAAAATATTAATTATTTAAACGCACCCATGTAGTTTAGACATAAAAAATAATTAAGGATGGTTCGACTTTTAACATCGATATTACATACATACATACATATAATCACGCCTCTTTCCCTTGGGGGTAGGCAGAGACCAGTTCTTTCCACTTGCTACGATCCTTGCATACTTGTTTTGCTTCGTCCACTTTCATTATTCCCTTCATACATGCTCTACGGTTTAGGGTACTCTTGACCTGGCCTTTTTTCAAGACGTCCCTGATTTGGTCTAGAAATGTCCGCCTAGGTCTACCCCTTCCAACACTTTCATTCACACTCGCCTTATACACTTTTTTCGTCAATCGTTCTTCATTCATTCTCTCGACATGGCCAAACCATCTCAGCATACCTTTCTCAATTTTTGTCACTACATCTTCTTTCAGACCACAACGTTTCCTTACCTCACTATTTCTTAGCCTGTCACTCAGTTTAACTCCTATCATACTTCTTAATGCTCTCATCTCAATTGCATTTATTCTGCTTTCATGTTTCTTCTGCCATACCCAAGTTTCACTTCCGTACATGAGTGTCGGAACCAACACCCCCTCATGCACAGCCAAACGAGCCTTGTTAGACACCTTCCGACTGCTCATAAAGGAGTGCATGTCCATTCACCATGTTTCCTGCATTCACTCTTCTTTCGATATCACTCTCACACTTTCCATCTCTTATAAACTTTGAACCCAGATACACAAACTCTTTCACCTGTTCAATTTGTTCATCTTCAATCACAATTTTGCAGTCTGTCACTGCCTCATCTTTTTCAAACACCATCACTTTCATCTTCCTTACATTCATCTTCATTCCCTTTCTAACAAAAGCTCCACTAATAGCAGTTACCATCTCCTGCAACTCCTCGGCCGAAGACGCAAGTAATACTTGGTCATCAGCATAGAGAAAACATTTGACGAGTAACTCATTCATTCTCAACCCACTTTCATTCTCTTTTAAATCTGTCAAACAATTGTCCATGAACAGATTAAACAGCCACGGTGACGCTACACATCCCTGTCTAACACCTTTTTCGATATTAAACCATTCAGTGTATGCCCCGTTTACCCTTACACAAGCACTAGAATCCCTATAAAGAGATTGCATTGCTCGTATGAGGATACTGCTCACACCGTTCACGGACAGTGCTGACCACAATTCATTCCTCACCACTCTATCATAGGCCTTTTCTAGATCTACGAACGCGCAGTGGACTTTCTTGTTTTTAGCCAAATACTTTTCGGTTATGCACCGCAAGGAAAAGACCTGATCCGTACACCCCATTCCCTTTCTAAATCCCGCTTGTGCATCCCATACTTTCTTGTCTGTTTCATTCACAATCCTTTCAATCAACACTTTCGCATACAATTTACCGACGACGCTGAGAAGGCTTATACCGCGGTAATTTATGCAGTCCTGCCGTCGATCGACATCGATATTACTTCAAATAATTAGAATTGAGTACATTTTACAGTATGAAAAAACTGCACCATACTTGAATATAATTGCAACATTATTAAAAATGCATTTAATGTAATGATAAACACAAAGTTGATAAAACCAAATTTCGTGAAAGTGTCGAATACACCCAAACGACATTTAACAAATTTGGTTTTAGTAAATTTTGAGCATTTACTGGCTGGGGAGGGGGGAGGGTTCACTCCGTCATTCGCATAGATTATATATAATACTGGTCATTCGGGTAGAATCTACTAGTTAGTCTGTGAGTCCGGCCTCGGCCACCGTTGTGAGTGAATATTGAATCGTTTGTTTGCAGCGAAAAAGATTGCCGTAGAAATACAGAATATTACAAAAACCAAATTTGATACATACTTGACCAAGGTAAGATATTATTATTAATTTTATTATCACAGATTCTTATTACAATATTTTGTTTCCCTAAAGGCACTCAGGATTTATATTTAAACTAGCTGTTTCCCACGAATTCGGCCGCGTGTTATTTGGGGTTTTAATTTTGTGGTTACGGAGACTAGCCGGAACAAACAAACAGACAGACAGACAGATAAAAACTTTAAAAATTTTATTTTTGTTATCAGTACCGTATATACTTTCATATGTATTTAGTAAAAAGCGGTAATTGTGACATTACAAACAGATACTTCAATTTTATTTACCTATTTGTATACGTCTTGGACTTTATAGAACTGAAATTGTACTTTGGGTATCTGCCACTGGAAATCCTCGACGAGGAGAACTAGATGTACCGAGTTTGGACTCGTTTTGTTAGTTATGATGAGACCTTACCTCTATACTTGATAGAGTGACTTGAAAGTGTACTTTGATTAATGCTATAGGAACTCCTCGACGAGGAGAACTAGATGTGCCGAGTTTGGGCTCAATTTGTTAGTTATGATTAAACCTTACCTCCGGATTTGATAGAGTGACTTGAAAGTGTACTTTGATGACTGCTACAGGAACTCGTCAATGAGGAAAACTAGATGTGCCGAGTTTGGGCTCGTTTTGTGAGTTATGATGAAACCTTACATCCGAACTTGATAGAGTGACTTGAAAGTGTACTTTAATGACTGCCTCTGGAACTCCTCGACGGAGAGAACTAGATGTACCAAGTTTAGTCTCGTTTTGTTAGTTATGATGAGACCTTACTTCCCGACTTGATAGAGTGACTTGAAAGTATACTTTGGTGACTGCTACTGGAACTCTTTGACGAATAGAACTACAATTAACTTTATTTTTTTATTTTTTCACGATCATATGAGCATTATGTGTCGTGCCTTTTTAGATTTTCCATGCTTTTTTAAATTGAAAATTGTCATTAAATGATAGGAAAATTAGAAGTATAAACTACTTTAAAAAATTACGTATAGTCATGATATACCTAATTTTTTTAATACGTTTAAGGCATGCACAATTGGATTTACCAATATATTTTTTTATAACTGGCTTTACGGCTCTGGGTTTTAGCACTTCTGAACCTGAAGTTATAATGTTAAATGATCCTTCATAGTACACTACTTCACAATATGTTGATGCGTCACATTGTGCAGCCAATTGGTAGATTTTGACGGCAACATGAGCCAGCATACAGCAGACAGTTGGCGATGGTATCTCAAGGCACCTAAACAGACAAACATCTTATTTTGAGATTGACAGTACCATCGAAGCACTTGTTTCACCATTTCCACTAATAGTTCACATGCACAGACATTTGATACACAAAATCGGACCACTTTTACGTATCAAAATCTACTTCAAACCATTATTTAAACGATAATACAGGGGCAGCAATCTGCCGCCAGTCAAGTTCCCGCCAAAACTCCTACTACATAGTAATCTATGCAGACTAGAAAGAGGATACTACGTATGAGATTATTATTATTATTAATCTATGTCAGAGGCCACAGACTAACAAAAGACATTTCACTGTAGGATATAATGTAATATATATTATATCTCGAGATATATTTTAATAGATATATTTTTTAATGGAACCGTTTACACTGAAATGTAATATATATTACATCTCATACTATAAGTAAATTTACGATCGACTCTATTACATTCATATTATATTTCGCCCCCTGACCCTGCACACTGTTCCGCGCCGCCACTACGTCCTCAAGTTCGTGTCTGTCATTACCTAAATGAACTTTTGCGTGGTGCGTTTACTCATTTGTATTCGTAACTTTTCTTAATAGAATTCATTCAAAGCTCTAAATTCACCATAATCCTCTCTAAACTTTATATGTTTTGATATCCTGTATCGACGCTCCCTATTTTTACTTAAAAGTAACACACATAAACCGAATTCCGCATCATCTCGCT